TTTCCTGAATATTTTATTTTTTTTTCTTTAAGCTATCTATTTCCTTGAATATTTCTCCCTTCGCTTCTTACATCATTTTTTGGATTTCCTTGCATCGGGCTTTGCCTTTCTCTGGTCCCTCCCTGATTAGCTTAAGAACTAACCTCCTGAGTTCTTTTTCAGGTAAATCAGGGATTTCTTCTTGGCTTGGATCCATTGCTGGTGAACTAGTGTGACTTCTGTGGGCTGTTAAAGAAACTTGTTTTGTCGTATTACCAGAGTAGGCTTTCTGGTTCCTTCTCATTTGGGTAGGCTCTGTCAGAGGGAAGGTCTAGGACTGAGGGCTGTTGTTCGGATCCTCCTGTCCCATAGGGTGTTCCCTTGATGTAGTACTCTCCTGCTTTTCCTATGGATGTGGCTTCCTGTAAGCTGAACTGCAGTGATTGTTGTCTCTCTTCTGGGTCTAGCCACTCAGTGAGTCCACCTGGCTCTGGGCTGGTACTGGGAGTTTCTGCACAGAGCCCTGGGATGTGAACCGTCTATGCGTCTCCCAGCAGTGGAGGATACCAGTGCTTGTTCTGGTGGAGGTGGTGGGGGTGGGAGGGCTGCAATGGACTCTATGAGGTTTCTTAGCTTTGGCGTTTAATGCTCTATTTTGTGCTCATTGGCCTCTTGCTGGGAGGTGGTGCTTTCCAGAGAACAACAGCTGTGGTAGTATGGTGGGCGGCCCTTTGTCTTTCACTACCAAGGTGGGTAGGGAAGGAATATCAGGTGTGGGCAGGGTTAGGTGTGTCTAAGCCAGTCTCTCATTGGACAGGTCTTGCTGTGGCTGCTGTGGGGAATGGGGGTGAGATTCCCAGGTCACTAGAGTTGTTTACCTGGCAGGTTTATGGCTATCTCTGCTGAGTGATGCAGGTTATCAGGGAAGTCCCGGGAAAGCCGATAGTCAGAGGCCTCCTCCAGCTCCCACACCTGCCTTCTGTTTCTTTCTAAATCAATGAGGTAGGTTGTTTAAGAAATTGTTCAGTTCACTTACCTTTTTAACTTTATTGAGACAAAATTGTTCCTACGTTTTCTTTTTCTTTTTTTCATAAGAGACAGATGCTTGTCCTGTTGCCCAGGCTGGAGTGCAGTGGCACAACCTCGGCTCACTGCAACCTTTGCCTCCTGGGTTCAAGTGAGTCTCAGGCCTCAGCCTTCTGAATAGCTGGGATTACAGGCGCATGCCACCACCCCTGGCTAAGTTTTATATATTTAATAAAGATGGGGTTTCACCATGTTGGCCAAGCTGGTCTCACACTCCTGACTTCAAGTGACCCATCCACCTTGGTCTCCCAAAGTGCTGGGATTACAGGCGTGAGCCACCGCAAGGCTGTTGTTCCTGTATTTTCTTATCGTGCTTACAACTCTGCTGTGTTTGTAGTTACAGCCTGTTTAATTCTATTACATTTTATTTGTGCTTTCTCTGTTTGATCGCATGTTTTCAGGTTCTCGTCTAGTTTAGTGTCAGAGTTTCAAAGCTTTGGCCTTTCTGTCCCTATTTTAGAACAGGCGTGGCTCGTCAAGAGGGTGGGACTTTGTATTTGACTCTTTTTTTTTTTTTTTTTTGCTCGTTTTCAGCTCAGAGCTACAACACTAAAGTTATCACACTAAAGGATTGTGGGCTTTACACTATTATATTATATTTCTGAAAATGTTCTTCACACTAAGAATAAAGCTACCCCAACTGTCCTATAGAAATGGAGGGGAGTGTGGAGTGTGTGTGTGTGTGTGTGTGGTGTGTGTATGTGTGTATGTGTATGTGTGTGTGTGTGTGTGGAGTGTGGTGTGTGTGTGTGGACTGTGGTGTGTGTGTGGAGTGTGGAGTGTGTGTGTGTGGTGTGTGTGTGTATGTGTGTGTATGGAGTGTGGAGTGTGTGTGTGTGTGGAGTGTGGTGTGTGTGTGTGGAGTGTGGAGTGTGTGTGTGTGGAGTGTAGTGTGTGTGTGGAGTGTGGTGTGTGTGTGTGGAGTGTGTGTGTGGAGTGTGGTGTGTGTATGTGGTGTGTGTGTGTATGTGTGGTTGTGTGTGTGTGGAGTGTGGTGTGTGTGGAGTGTGTGTGTGTGGTGTGTGTATGTGTGGTGTGTGTGTGTATGTGTGGTGTGTGTGTGGAGTGTGGTGTGTGTGTGTGGAGTGTGTGTGTGTGTGGAGTGTGGAGTGTGTGTGTGTGTGGAGTGTGGTGTGTGTGTGTGGAGTGTGGTGTGTGTGTGGAGTGTGTGTGTGTGGAGTGTGGTGTGTGTGTGTGGAGTGTGGTGTGTGTGTGTGGAGTGTGGTGTGTGTGTGTGGAGTGTGGAGTGTGTGTGTGTGGAGTGTGGTGTGTGTGTGGAGTGTGGTGTGTGTGTGTAGTGTGTGTGTGTGTGGTGTGTGTGTGTGGAGTGTGGTGTGTGTGTGGAGTGTGGTGTGTGTGTGTGGAGTGTGGTGTGTGTGTGTGGAGTGTGGTTGTGTGTGGAGTGTGGAGTGTGTGTGTGTGGAGTGTGGTGTGTGTGTGTGGAGTGTGTGTGTGTGGAGTGTGGTGTGTGTGTGGAGTGTGGTGTGTGTGTGGAGTGTGGTGTGTGTGTGTGTGTGGAGTGTGGAGTGTGTGTGTGTGGAGTGTGGTGTGTGTGTGGAGTGTGGTGTGTGTGTGTGGAGTGTGTGTGTGTGGAGTGTGGTGTGTGTGTGTGGAGTGTGGTGTGGGTGTGGAGTGTGGAGTGTGTGTGTGGAGTGTGTGTGTGGAGTGTGGTGTGTGTGTGGAGTGTGTGTGTGTGGAGTGTGGTGTGTGTGTGTGGAGTGTGGAATGTGTGTGTGTGTGTGGCATGTGTATGTGTGGTGTGTGTGTGTGTGGTGATTTTGTTTTGGCCTTTATTTATTTGTGTTTTAAACATTTTACTCTTTTTTTTTTTTTTTTTGAGACAAGGTCTCACTGTATCTATCACCCAGGCTGGAGTGCAGAGGCACAATCAGGGCTTACTGCAGCCTCGACCTCCAGAGCTCAAGCAATCCTTCCACCTTAGCCCTCAGAGCAGCTGGAACCACTGGCACATGCCACCATGTCTGGCTAATTTCTGTATTTTTTTGTAGAGATGAGATTTTGCCATGTTGCCTGGGCTGGTCTCAAACTCCTGAGCTCCAGCAATCCACCTGCTTTGGCCTCACAAAGTGCTGGGATTACAGCTGTGAACCATGGTACCCGGCCTTGTTTGGCTTTTTTTTTTTATTCAGGACTCAAATATGTGTAAATTTTATTTATAGTTGTGTATAATTTTTTTGTTTTGCTTTTAAAAGCTGCCCTTGTATTAAATAAATTATCTAATGAATACAAACACTATACTATTAGGGACAGATTACTCCCCTTTAGAAGCCTCTATTGATGTGTAGTGATCAAAAAAAACTAGTAAACACAGATAAGATTGCAAAATAATGGATTTGGTTTAGTCTCTCACACTCTTCAGAGAATCAAAGGCAGTAATCGGTAGAATCCATGTCACCATAAGTTCCTCTCATCAGGGCTATTGCAATATTTTAAGTGGATTTCATTGCTGGTGATTTAAAAACACACAAATACATCTCCTGTGGTCTGCATGTGGCAATGGGGAGATCAAGAACAGGGACAGGTCTCCACTGACATTTAATTCTCAGTGCACAGCAGGTGCCTCCCTCCCAGAGACCTGCTTTCCTGGCATAGACATGCGTGTCTCTGCTGCCAGAGAGAATTTTTTCTGCTATCGATAGCATTTTATATACGTGACAATCACTTACACGAGGAGTTATTTATGTGGCACTTTGCAAAGTGCTTTAAAAATACAATTGCTATTCCGTTATTCCTTACCAGTCCCTTGTGAGGCTGGCCATGTGTACACATCGAGCTTTAGAACATGCAGATGCGTCAGTCCCACCAGAGTTACAAGCAGGAACCGGGGTTGCCACCCCAGGGCTGCCCACAGGCTCTGGATGTCTCTATTTGTACTGGAAGCTTCCTCTGCAGGAGTCATTTCCAATTCAAATGAGGGATTTGCAGGGAACGGAAGGTCCTAGAAGTTGGGTAGCTGGTGTTCGGTCAGGGCATCGTGCTTAGGACACCCCAAGGCTCTCCCCACCTGTGCCTGGAGTCCAGGAGAGCTGCGGGGCAGAAAGGCTGGTCCTTGTGAACAATGATTTCCCTGAAGATGTTCTTCCAGAATGGTCCATGTGGCTATTGTTCTCATTTAGATAATCACTCACTACTCAGAACCCAGACAAACGTGGGTCCTGTCCAGCACCTCCCAGGAGTAGGCATGAGGGAGTTGGGAAGGGTGTCCCTGGTCTGTGAGGGCCAGCACTGCTCCTGACACGTGATTGAGCCTGAGAACAGGCCCGGGGCCCCCATGACAGCAGGCCCAGGGTGGGATTGGAAGGAAGTGGTAGGAGGCATGAGCCCCAGCCCTTACAGCAGCGGCTGTCACCTTCCCCACGCCTCTGGGACTTGGCCTGTCTATGGGGACAAAGGACAGATGGCTCTTAGCAAGCAGGAGAGGGAGGAGCTGTGTGTCCTCAGAGGGCTCAGCCCCACTGGCCAGGATGGCCACACTCCCGTGTGGGGAATCAGGTGTGGGTGTCCTGCCTGCCTGATGTCCCTGAGCTGACGGCCTCTAAGTTGGGTGGAGAGAGAGGATAGTGTCCACGCAGTGAGGATGCCCAGCCACCTGGTGCCCCCAGGAGGCCGGAGGCAGCATGGGGAGGTGGCGGGGGAGGAAGCAGGTCAGAGTCTTCCCGCTGTAGGATGCGCCAGCCCTGCACGCCTCATCTTGTCTGAGCCCTGTGCAGCCAACGTTATTAACTCCATTTTACAGATGAAGAAACCAACATTCAAAGTGGTTATCAACGTGTCCAAGATTATACAACTAATTAGGGGTGGAGAGTGGGCCCATTAGCTTCTCCAATGAGCCAAAGTACCTGTGTGTCTCTCTCTGGGGCTTCAGTTTCCTTAGGTATTAAACGAGTATCTTTTTGTATTTTTTCCGGCTCCAGTGGCCTGTGGCTTTCTGGGAGGCACCCGACATTCACCTCAGAATTATCTGTGGCAAGGCGGTTTCTGATTTCCGCGCTTGATATGATCTCTAGAGAAGCCTTTCCTTTTTCTCTGGTTTCCTGGAAGAAGCTGAGCGTACAGACAGAATGCTGGCAAGAAGGCACGGGGCCGCTGAGATCAGTGAGTTTTTGTCACAAGTGCAAGTTGAAGAGGCTGTGACATTTTAGTGAGTCCCCAGCCACATCTTGAGGAAAAAGGGAGTGTCCCAGCCCACAGGTCCCTGCTGGGGATGGGGCTCCAAACGTCTGACAAAGTTTGCCTCTGAACTACTGTTCCCTCCTTTTGAAAGCCATTTGTTTTCAGCTCCTCTAAGAGGCCCTGTGTGAAGCATCTGTTTTAACTCAAGAGTGTTCTCCTCAATTTCCTGGGGAACATGAATAAGACACTTCTATTTCTAGATCCGAGGTCAAGAGTAGCAAAGGCTCTCATCTCTGTGGGGAGAGCTTTGCTCCTGGCAGTGGCTCCTCTCCTGCGGGGGTCTTCAGGCTTCTACTGCCAGGAAAGTCAGTCTCTTGTGTGACTTGCGAACAAGGTAACAACAAAACCTGGAAGAGGCTCCCTTACTTGTGGTGTGGGTCGGCCTTACCCACCACCTCCTGGACAAGAAATCGGTGGGCAAAGGGGGACTGCTTCTCGGTGCCTGTGTAGGAGGCTTCTATGCCAAAGTTGGAAAGACCCTTTAGAAAACCGAGATGGATTGAGGGAGCGCTGGTTTTCACTGGCTCTCGGATTTCCTCCCCTGTGTTTGCTGATCTCTGCTAGGAGGGAGCAGGGTCGGGGTGTTGTGGCAGATGCCCTTTGTTGCTGAACCAAGTGTTTCCCAGCCTCCTTCCTCCTTCTTTCCGGCTGAGAACGTCACACTCAAGACAGAGGCAGCTGCAAATGCCACCTCACTTTCCGGGCCTCCTCAAAGTGGCGAAGTGCACTTTGAACCCAATGTTGACTAAGGAACCAGCAAGGGAAGCCTTCTAGAGAACTACTGGGGAGGATTTTCTCTCTGACAACAAGAGAAACATGAAGAGAGGCTGTCCTCCCTTCCTTCTGGTGGGCTGGTGTGAGGCCCAGTGGTCCCAGCCATCCGGCCACCTTGAGGGGACCAGATGACTCTGAGGATGGCAGGTGCCTGACAACTTCATCATGCAGAACTGACCAAGCCTCGAACTTCCTGCTTCTGGACAGATTGACCTGTGAGGTAATAAATGTCCTTATTGTTTAAGCTGTTTCAGTTGAAATATTCCGTGCTCGTAGCCAAAAGCAACCTACGTGATAAATGCAGGAAACAGGCTTCCCACATAGGAGATTAACACCCAGGGGAGATAGGAAATGCACCCATCAGGCATCTGAGGAGCATTTACCAACCCATGCTGTCCCCATAATTTACAGCTGGACCTTATTTTAGAAAAGAGATGCATTTATAGAAACAGTGTATGATACAAATTATAATTCTCCATTAATTTCATAAATGTTTCTGAGAAGGGATTTCTACATTCTTAATTGGTCTTCAAATAACACTAGCTCCTAACACTTTGGAGTTTCTTTCTTACGGTTTGACAAGTGGTAAATATCTGGAAATCCCTACCATTGAAGTAAAATTATTTTGTAAACGAGGTATCCTTTTTATCAAATTAGTATTCACACTTTAATTTTTCCTTCTGGTAATTTCAGATTTTGGAAATAGGGGTCCCCAGGAGAGCCTCACCTGATTCTATGCTCTGTGAGCATGTCTATTATTCTCAAAGATCAGACAAGGGCAAAGCACGGACTTGTGGCCACACCTTATTCCAAGTGTTTGTTGTAGCCTTAGCTGTGACTGGTGTAATGGGATGATAACATGGTGCTTGTGGCTGAAACTCCTGGATAATACATCATTCAAAGGAAGTGGGAGATTATTGGCAGAATTTACCATGGAGCTGTCCACATCCCATCACATGCATCTCAAACCCCTCATCCTTAGTGTGGATCTCAAAGGCCTTAAAATTGAAAATCAGGAAGTGGATTTTCAGAGAGAGTCCTGGTGAGTCCCATAGAGGACTGGTTCACCTCTTCCACCTCTCTCCTGTTCAGAAGCCTGTTCCCAGATTCTCTTGTTTGCAGAGTGCTGAGTATGGTTTAATTCTGCCAACAAGTGCCTTGAAGCTAGATTTGGAAGCCGGAGTGGAGGCTGAGCCATTCTTCCTCTTCCAGGATGGTGGCAGGTGCGTTAGCTCTGGCCAACGTGAGTTTCTCCAGTGCATTTTGTTCTCCAGCCTCTCCTTTGCCTTCGGGCTGCTGGGCAGCAGTAAGCATCAGCAGCCGTTTCTGCAGTTTTTTGACTCCCAACTGCAAAATTAGAGGGGACAGCCTGCCCGACTGCCCTCAGTCTGACACCAGTCACAAATTCAGGTGGTTCCAAAAACTCCTGAAATTATTTGCTAGAAGGCCTCACAGAACTCATGGAAAGCTGTTAGACACCCAGTTATGATTTATTACAGGGAAAGGATACAGGTAAAATTGGTCAACAGATAAATCCGGAAACATCCCAAATGCGGAGCTTCTGTTCTCTTCCCAAGGTCAGGATGCATTAGTCTCCTGGCATCAATGCATGTCAACATTCATGGAATACTGCCAACCTGAGAAGGTTTTACCATTTCATCTTTGTAAATTAAAGTAACAAGCTGGGTGTGTGCCTCTAGTCCCAGCTACTAGGGAGGCTGAGGTGAGCTCAAGAGTTCGAGGCTGTAATGAGCCATGATTGTGCCATTGCACTCCAGCCTGGGTGACAGAGATAGACTCTGCATCTAAAAATTAAAGCAAAGCAAAACAAAACAAGTGGGTTCAAATTTTCCTATTGATAAGGCATGGGAAGTACATCCTTCTTCTCCTTGAGTTAAGATGGAAAAGTTTGAAATAGATCATCCAGAAAGTTCAACATGCTTTCCCTGCAGTTTGAGGGACACATTTGACCAGGGTCTGAGTCTCAAAAAGTCATGGACCTTTTGGGTTGTAAGACACTTAACAGTCACCTATTGCCATAGTAATTTTGCTTAACAAACCACTCAGAACTCAGCAACCTGAAACAATAAGCATTTATTTCTGACTCCTGTGTCTTCAGGTTGGCTGGGTTCAGCTGCTCTAGTTTGGCTGGGCTTGAGTATAGACTGTGGGTTGAGTCCAGGTCCATGCATCTCTCATCCTCTTTGGGGTGGTAGACACCCAGGGCATGTTCTTTCCATGGTGAAAGGCAGGCGCAAAAGATGGCTAGCCCAACCACTCCCATTGGCCTAAGTAAGTAACATAGGCAAGCTGAGAGGCAAGACGTGGTGAGGTACACCCTGCTCACTCTGAAGCCACAGCCGAGTGTAGACAGCTAATACTGTAAGAGGGGAGTGAAGAGTGGGGGCCAGTCATTCAGTGGACTTCAGTAACATTTTAAATTTTAAATCCAAACTTAAAGAGAAGTCATCCCCTTTCTGTGATCTGGGTTCCCAGTCAAGCAGGAGGGAGTGCTGGGGCTGCCACCGAGGACTGACAGTCACTGGGGACATGGGACTTGGCACCAAGAGTTCCCAGTCTCACCCTGCTGAGTGAGCCAGAAGAAAAGTGATGTGAGACACCTGAATGCTCTGGGCTGGGACTCTCGTCTGCAAAATCAGAGGGCCTCAGCCCATCCCGCTGAAACTAGTGCTGGTAAGGTCCCACGGGCAGGCTGACCTCATGAGTGCATGATCTGTGCACAGAGGAGGCTCTGTGCTTGGTTTAGCGCTCTGCTGTTACTGTCTTGAGATTCTGAATAGTTTTTAGACAAGAGGGTCTCGCATTTTCATTTTGTGCCAGTCTCCAAAATTTTTGTAGTTGGATATGCCCATGGGAGTGCAGGTTTCCTGAAGATTTACTCATGTAATCAGGCACTGTGCTAATAAGGGCTTTACAAACTGCATTCTTATCATCTACATTAGTCCATTTCGTGTTGCCGTAAAGGAATACCTGAGGTTGGGTAATTTATAGAGAAAATAAATTTAATTGGTTCATGTTTCTGCAGGCTGTACAGGAAGCATGGTGCCAGTATCTGCTCAGCTTCTGGTGAGGCCTCAAGGAGCATATACTCATGGCAGAAGAAGAAGCGGGAGAAGGCACATCATATGGTGAGAGAGGGTGCAAGAAGTGGGGGAAAGGCGCCACACACTTTTAAACAACCAGTGACATGGCTTGACTGTGTCCCCATCCAAATCTCATCTCGAGCTGTAATCTGAATTGTAATCCCCACGTGCTGAGGGAGGGACCTGGCGGGAGGTGACTGAATCATGGGGGCAGTTTCCCCCATGCTGTTCTCATGACAGCGAGTGAGTTCTCACGAGATCTGATAGTTTTAAAGTGTTTGGCAGTACCCCCATCTCTTGCTGCCTTGTGAAGAAGATGCTTGCTTCCCCTTTGCCTTCTGCCATGATTGTAAGTTTCCTGAGGCCTCCCCAGCCTCAGAATAGGTTTCAATTAAACCTATTTTCTTTATAAATTACCCAGTCTCAAGTGGTATCTTAGAGCAGTGTGAAAACAGATCAATACAACCAGATCTCATGTGAACTCAGACCAAGAACTCACTGATCAGGAGGACAGCACGAAGCTATTGATGAGGGATCCGCCCCCCTGACCCAAAGGCCACGATACCTTCTACCAGGCCCCATCTAACATTAGGGATTACATTTCAACATGAAATTTGGAAAGGACAAATACTTAAACCATATCAACCTCACATCAATCTGCACGCTTTTCAGATAACGAGACAGTTTCACTGTTAACATGTAACCCACCCAATAGCACACAGCCAGGATTTGAATCCAGTTTTGTTTCCCCCACAAGCCTTTCCAGTAGACAATTTTGCTACTATTTGCTAGGAACTGTGTGTACATCTGGGGATGAAAAGTACAGTCCCTGCCCTCAAGGGGTTAGCATCCTTCTAACAATACTAGCACATGGGCATGGCACTTCCTGTGTGGCAGATCCTGTTCTCAGCAATTTATATGTATTCATTCACTCAATCCATGCAATACCAATCCATTGTAGCAGACTATAATTGGCTCCATTATTGCCTTAAGTGACTTGGTCGCAGTCACGTGGCTGAAGGACAGCAGGGCCAGGCTTCAAGTCGAGGGTCTAGAGCCTCAGAGTTTATATATAGCCTCAGAGTTTGCTATACCAGCTCTACCCTGGGCTGTGTTGGTTACTTTGGCCCAGGGAGTCTTCTGCCTGCTTTGGTGATGAGGAAAAGAAAGTAAATGAACTACTGAGCTTTTCCCAAGAGTTCTGAACTGGAGTCTGGTGACTGAGATTCTGGAGATCAGCTGAGAACAGGACACAGCCCCTGCCCTCACAGAGCTCACCCTGCAGAGGGAGAGGCAGATGATGAGAGTGTGAGAGCTAGGCAGTGGCCCCTGCAGGGCTTTCAGGGAGTCCTGAGGGGTGGAAGTGAGCCTAGCCTCAGGGAGGAGAGAGGAAGGACGCCCGGGGAATCTGGAAGGGTGAGAAGGAATTAGCCAGGCAGGGGCAGGGGCAGGGAAAGCAGTGTGACAGGGATGAGGATCTGGGGGATGCACTTTGTTCAGAACGGCTGGAGGGAAATGCCTGAGGGGCCCTGGCGCTAGATGACTGGAGAGTTTACATCTTATCTGGAATCAACTGGAGCTTTAGAAAGTTACCCTGGAAAGGTGGGGTCTGCCTTTTGGATTACTCACAGTGGGCATGGAGTGGAGACTGAATCAAAGGTGAGACAGGGAGCAGAGAGGCTGGGGTGGAGACCGGGATGTGACAGGTGGGGGTCCGAGGTAGGGGGTGGCCCAGGGTGCAGGTACTACTGGGTTCATCCTGTGACACGAGTTAGCAGGCTCTGCACACCCAGCTGGGGGAAGCTGCCATGTGACTGAGATCCCAAGCTGTCTGCTCCAAACATGCTCGCTGCTCTTTCTTGTGTCTTAAGTCCAAGGGGATTTATTTTCTCACCTCTCTTCCCAGCAGATGGTCTGATTACACTGCTCACTTTGAAGGGAAAATCTCTGCAACCAACTGAATCCTGGGTCTGTTGGTGCCATTTTTTCCTCTGCAGGAAAACTAGACCCGAGGAAGAACATAGCTGGGTAGAGCTGGCTCCATGACCCACCTGTGACAGGGTACTCAGTGGAGGGGTGTGCCACCAGGCCCCTGTGGATCCCCACAAAACACCTACCTCATACCGGGGCTCTGCTTGCAGAATGAGGTTTATTTTCTTAGTGACCTAACAAAGGCAGCTGGGAGTGGAGATTATAAAACCATCACTAACACGTTTCAGATAGCAAGGCTATGGTTCTGGAGTGAGTACGGACTGGGCTGCCTCCCACCTCAGTGCAGGTAACTGAGAGCTGATGGCACATTTTTACTGTTGCTTAGGGAGTTAGGGTCTACTCGGAGTGAGAAACCAAGCCTGGCTTAGGAGAGTCTGCAGGTTAGAAAGGGCTGAGAAAGGGAAGGAAAGCAGAGGCCAGGTGATAGGACGGAGGAGCAGGCTGGAGGAGAGGAGAGGGTGGGGAGCCCTGGATGGAAGCCTGTAACTCCATGCAGAGGTTTTGAAGCTGGACAGACGTGTTTAGAGGAGGGTTGGGGTCCTCTCTAAAGGGTCCTAGAAACCCAGATGGCCCTGTAGTCTAGCTCTTTGAGAAAGATTACACCCCATAATAAAATCCCCAATGGGGACTGTGTTGCTGGCTGGTCCTAGGATGGAGGCAACTCCAGAGAGTTTCTGGGCTGGCGTTTTCAGTGGGCTGTGAGCTAACCCTCCTGGGTGCGGTGGAACCCCTTTTCTTCCCCCAATCTTGGTTGGATCCTGGCTCCCAGGCACCATCTCCAGGCATCTCCATGCAGAGAAAGGGTGCCTTCCTTCACATGGCAGTGAGGCTGGTCTCTTCCCTGCCTCCTGCACTGGCACACAAGACCCCTGATGACTGGGGGCTGTGTTTCTCTTTCCGGATGGCCTGCCTCTCAGCCTGGGGGCAGAAGACAGGGACAAAGGGGAAGGGGAGAAAGACACAGCTGAGATCATTTCCCTCTGCATGTATACATTTCTTCCTTTGGATAAAGATTGAGGCAAAGTCAATTAAATGCAAGAGTCAGTATGGTTGGGTGAGAAATTAAACAAAAAATCAGACTATGTGAGCGTTACATCTCTTGTAGGAATATTAATTCCACTTGGTGGTGGTATTTGGGCTGGGTAGCGGGTCTGATCATTTGGAGGCCTGCAAGATTGCTTATTCATAGTGCAATTCCTGTCTCAGCCATTTATAAAACAGTTTCTGAGTCTTCTTGCCCAGGTCACTATTGTAAATGAGAAGTTATTCCCGAAGGATCTTATCTAGAACAATAAATGGATAAAATTATTGAATTTATTAACATCTAAATTAAAAAGTCTGAAAAACTGAGTTCTAATTAATCAGCTTGCAAACAGCTACCCCCAAGGATAAGATAACAGACCCTTTAGCAACAGCTCATGGTTTGAGACATTTTTTTTTTAAACAATAATAATAATTTCACAGCAGCTCATATCCAAGGAGTTCAAAGCTGTTCCACAAATGTTAATTATTTAATGACTTTCTGAAACTGAAGCAGATAATTACTACATTCTTGAGCCCTGTAATGAGGAAATGGCGCTGAGAGGGAAGGGTGAGTGCCTTTGCCCAAGGTTGTAGTCCAGCTTGTCAGAAAGAGACGAGCAGGACGCCGGCAGTTGTCTGACCTTGGTCCTGCTCTGGCCTCAAGCCCTCTGGTCTTTTGGCTCCTGGTCTGAACTCCATGACCAGCCTCCTTCCAGCCCATCCACCCCCATCCTCCTCCTCCATCTTGTTCCCAGTACAGCTCTGTCTTCACACCTGGGGCCCTGTCTTGGGACTGTGCTGTCTCGGACTGTACCATCACCCCTGAGCCTGGGGCCTGCCTGGTGTTCCCCAACCTAGCAGAGACTTGTCCCTGCCCCCAGGTCCCCTGGTACTGCAGCAGGTGAGGATCCCAGGTGCCCAGGTGAGCCGGCCCCTGCATGGTCTCTCTTACCTGCCAGGAAACCTGCCAAGAGCCCCAGGCTGGTTGCAGCCTCTTCCCACAGGCCGCCCAGGGCCTCCCAGCCTCTGACCACCTCTGGCTCGTGTGGCTAGTCTTTTTTTTTTCTTTTAATTGCATTTTAGGTTTTGGGGTACATGTGCAGAACGTGCAAGACAGTTGCATAGGTACACATGTGGCAATGTGTTTTGCTGCCTTCCTCCTCTTCACCCACATTTGGCATTTCTCCCCAGGCTATCCCTCCCCAGCTCCGCCACCCCCCGCTGTCCCTCCCCTATTCCCCCCAATAGACCCCAGTGTGTAGTGCTCCCTTCCTTGTGACCATGTGTTCTCATTGTTCATCACCTGCCTATGAGTGAGAATATGCGGTGTTTCATTTTCTGTTCTTGTGTCAGTTTGCTGAGAATGATGTTCTCCAGATTCATCCATGTCCCTACAAAGGACACGAACTCATCATTTTTGGTTGCTGCATAATATTCCATGGTGTATATGTGCCATATTTTCCCTGTCCAGTCTATCATCGATGGGCATTTGGGTTGGTTCCAGGTCTTTGCTATTGTAAACAGTGCTGCAGTGAACATTCGTGTGCATGTGTCCTTATAGTAGACCGATTTATAGTCCTTTGGATATATACCCAGTAATGGGATTGCTGGGTCAAATGGAATTTCTGTTTCTAGGTCCTTGAGGAATCGTGTGTGGCTAGTCTTTAGAGAGGCTTTTCCTCTCTGCTCCAGCCTGGTTTATTGTCTCTGGGGTCTGACATCCTGGTCTTCTGGGATGTCTTCCTGGAGCCAGGTTCTTCCCTGCAAGGGCATAGGGGTGGGCCTCTCACCTCTCTTGAGGTTTGCTAAGAGCTGGAGGTGCCTCCCCGACCATCAGGGAGAGATGGCAGTGCAAGGCTGGAGACTTCACTGCCCTCCCTTCCTTGGAGCTGACTGGTGAAATCATCATGCAGGGTCCTCAGTCATTCACACACACGGGAGTCCAGCCAACACGGAAAGGTCCACCTTGCACATCCCCTGAAGCATGGCGGGGAAGCTGTGCTCCCTCTAAACAATGGGTCCGGGAGCAC